CCCAAGCAAGCCCTCCATCCCGACCCCGGCGTACTTGCTGCGCCTTCTCCATCCTCGCCCTCCTCATCCTCCTCCTCCTCCTCCTCCTCCTCCTCCTCCTCCTCCTCCTCCTCCTTCAATCTCAGCAGTAGCAGCTGCTGCTGCTGCGATTCAATCTCTCAACTGGTTGACTCGCTTCTATCGACTGTCCTGGTCATCCCGCGTCTCATCCTCATTTACTCACCAAGTGCGCTGCCTCCTTGGAGCAGAGAAGAAGTGACTTTGAGAAATGAGCCTGCTGCCTCTCAGCCTCCTCCACACCTCCGCCCCGCCCCCGCCCACTTCCTCTCCCTCCTCTCGATTTCCTCTCCTTGTCCTGTTCCATCCCCCTCCTCTCTTGTCTCCCTCCTTCTCTCCTCACCAGGAGTTGCGCGCGGATCGCTCTCGAACACGTTCTCGTCTCCTTCCTCCATCGCCTGGGCAAACTCGTAGAGATCATCCAAGGACACAACTCGATGCTCGTCCACATCCAAGGGGACCTGCCGGGCTCAGTCAACTTTGCTTCATATCAGGCGCTCCCTCCCTCCCTCCCTCACTCACTCACTCACTCACTCACTCACTCACTCACTACTCCTTTCCCTCTCGAATCGCTTCTGACACTGAGCTCCCACGCTCCTCGCTCCCTCTTGCTCTGTTTACCCGCGAGCTGACAGTCACCCGAGGAAGGCGGATATTTCCTGCGACTGCTGCGGTGGCCATGGCGAGCACATCGCTGGCCTGTGCAGAAGATGAGGAGGGGTGACTGAGAAAAGTGGAGGACGAGGACGAGGACGAGGACGAGGAGGACGAGGACGAGGACGAGGACGAGGACGAGGACGAGGAGGACGAGGACGAGGACGAGGACGAGGAGGACGAGGACGAGGACGAGGACGAGGAGGACGAGGACGAGGACGAGGAGGACGAGGACGAGGACGAGGAGGACGAGGACGAGGACGAGGACGAGGAAGAGGAAGAGGACGAGGACGAGGACGAGGAAGAGGATCAAGAAGACAGGAATCTTACGCTGCCTTTCTCCCTCCAATCAATAACAAGAGGTTGTGTGTGACGATCCGGCTGGAAAAGTTTCACAGTCTCGGACGCTCCTCTGGTCAGATTCACCTGCAGGAGGAGGAGGAGGAGATTCTTGAAAAGCTCCTCATCCAGCTGCTCAATCATCCTCCGCGCTTTTTCGCAGACTTTGACTCCTTCCTCTTCAATCCGCCGCATGCACAGGGAGGGAGGCGCAAAGAGAAAGACGAGCACGTCGGCTCCTGGGTATTCGCCTTCCACTCCGTCCAAGCTCAGCTCCGAAGGGAGGATCGCGTGTCGTGCGTTTGCTCGAAGGAAGGCTGAGGAGGAGAAGGTGGAGGAGTCGACGACGAAAGATCGACCATGAGACTGAAAGTCTCGTACAAGCTGAGCGGAAAGCCTGACAGAGCCGTCACAGCCAGGAGAGATGACAAGGAAGCAAGAGGAGGTAGTGGTGAGAAGGGGAGGGAGGAAGGGAGGAAGGGAGGAAGGGAGGAAGGGAGGAAGGGAGGGAGGGAGGGAGGGAGTGAAAACGGGAAGGGGGCACAAGGAGTAGGGAGGTGGGGTCCGACTAAGAGAGAGGACAGTGAGCAGGAGGGAGTTAGTGACCGGGAGGCTTGGATGGCAGCGATCTGCAGAGGACAAGTAAGAGAGGAGGGGAGGAAAGAGCAGAGCAACTAACGCTTGCTGACATCGCGTACTTGCTGTAATCTTGAAGGAAGCTAGAGGTCAACCAACTTGGAACGGAGCAGCAGGGAGGGGGCAGCGTCGTCGGTGCGGCCTGCAGGCATCGCAGGAGCTGATCGGAGAGGAGGGAAGTGCCAACTCCGAAGTTTCCTTCCAAGCTCAGGTGAAGCCCATGATGTTTGCCGGGCTGAACATCTTGGAACGCTGACTGTTGCCGGGGGTATGAAACATCGACGTTGCTGCAATCAGCCAGGCGCGAAATCATCGTCATCATGTTGCCCATCCTCTCCCCTGCTCGTGACCTGCCGTCGACAGTACCCTCTTCCACCCTCTCCCATTCTTCCACAAGCCTTGCCGCCTCCTCCAAGATCCCTTGCGCTGCCTCCTTCCCTGACAGCTGCCTCGCTCCCCCTGACGTATCTCGCAACGTGCTCCTGGCTCCACTCTGTGACATGTCTTCCTCCCAATGTATCGCTGCCTCGTCGGACGACTTCGACGAGCTTGCCCGCTCCTTCTTCACAGCCATGGCAACTCCATCCGCTGTCATGCTCGTCAAGTGTGCGCTCGATGGACGGCGGAAAGAAGAGGAGATGAAAGAAGGGGAGCAGCAGCAGCAGCAGCAGCAGCAGCAGCAGCAGCAGCAGCAGGAGGGCATCTCACCAATGGGGTCTAGGATGAAGCTGACACGAGGGTCCCTTGCCATCTTGTCATTGAGCAGGATAATAGATCTCGTCTCTTCATCCACCGCATCCGCCTCCCCCACCACACGCCCTGACCTGCAGACGCGTCAGCCCGACTCCCTCCCCTTCCCCTCCTCTTCCGAGGACCATAGAGCATCGTCAAGCAGCACAACCCCACCCTCTCGGAGGAGGAGGAGGGCGGCCTCGTAGTACTCGTCGTAACTCTCCTTGTCTGCGTCGATGAAGATTGCATCAAACCCTCCCTCTCCGTCTCTGATCATTCTCTCCATCTCTGCAAGACCCGGCCCCAACCGCAGCTCTATCCTCTCCTGCAGCCCTGCTCTCCCCCACGCTTCTCGAGCTATCGACGTGTACTTCTCGCTCACGTCCAGACAGACCAGTTTGCCGTCAGCTGGGAGGGAGCTGGCAATGCAGGTGCTGCTGTAGCCCGTGAACGTTCCGACTTCCAGCACAAACCTTGCTCGTATGGCTCGCATCATGCTCTTCAGCCACTGCCCCTGCTCCGGGTAGACCTGCATCGAAGCTTCTTCCGCACTGAGCGTCTTCACCGTATGTGAGCGAATCCACCGCAGGGTGTCGTCTTCGGAGAGCAGAGCTTGCTGCCGCAGATACTCGGCGGTTCCGTCCTTGCAGACGCTGGGAAGACAGACTTCAAGGATCGGACTAGCAAAATTTCGTAGACCTTGGTTTGTACACGCTCTGGAACTCGTTGGCAATCATGTCCCATCCATCGCTGCTATCAAAGACCATCTCATGCAAGGAAGAGAAGTCCAAGTCTGCTTGTAAGCAAGGTCATCGCCGCAAACATGCGTTGATGGAGGGCAGAGAATACTCACCTTCAGGTTGCAATTGCGCTTTGAGGTTACTGTTAAGCTGCCTTGCCTCGCGCCCTGACGCCACTTTGAATGCAGGAAGACGAGGAGGAGTTCGAGTGATCGATCTCTTTGGAAGAGATCTGATCCAACTTTGATGATGGCTGAACGATAACGCCGATCCTTGAGCAAACCCTCCTTGTTCAATTCATCAGTACTCACCTTCAATCCAGACCCTTCCCTCTCGTCTCCCTCCTCTCATTTCCTCTCATTTCCTCCTCTCCTCTCCTCTCCTCTCGTCTTCTTCCTCTCTTCTCTTCTCAACTTCTCCTCTCAACTTCTCCTCTCTTCGCTTCTCACCTGCATGCGCGAGACAACTCACGCACAACAACTTCGCTAGCATGGCCGCCATGGCGATAAGTCCCAACTCATCTCCCTCATTCACCCCGGCCCGGCCGGAACCCACTGGGAACCCACTAGGGAACCACCGGGCACTGGAAGGTGAAATCATCCCCCTCAGTCTCAACCCTTATATCGTCAATGCACAAGGTCCTCCGAAGGATTCCATGGTAAGGACAGGAGCAAGGGGAGGGAGGGAGGGAGGGAGGGAGGGAACGAGGATAAGCAGGGCAGGTAGGTTCAGGAGGACAAGGTAAGTCAGGACAATGAATAGGATGTGCTCGACGAGAGATCCCGTGGATTGCCAGATGAAGAGAAAGAGCCTGTACTGATGCTGTAGGGCAGGACTCGCTGTAGAAGCCTCGTGCGAGGCTTCACCAGCAGGACTAGACCTGCTCAGGCGCTCGCAGGCTGGGGGTCCGTAGGCCTTGTAGGAGTTTTTGCAGGGGGGCTCGGAGGGTTTGCGCTCAGTCAGCCGTCCAAGGAGTCGGACGAGCTGCCCCAGGGCTCGCAGGTCTTGTCGGGGAAGGAAGACTTGTACGGGGGGGTTCTGGTAGAGACCAGCAGCATGTCCAAGGATCCCGCGAGCTTCAGTGAGCAGCTCTCGAGGTCCGTCCATGGCTGCCCGGAGCAGTGTAACGCAGGGCCAGCAGGTCCCTGGAGTCCTGGAGGAGGGAGAAGAAGAAGGGGATCTGGATCACGATCGCCCCCGACATGGCCGCGCACATCCCCGTCGCTGTCGAGCAAGGGTGAAGCTCCCTTGACGAGATGGTCATCCCAGTCACGCGACTCTGACTTGACAGGTTCCACTTCCATCATGCGAGCAAGGACAAGGGAGTCACCATGTACACATGGCTGTCAGAGGCTATATGTAACATCCCCAACAACGCATCCCACTACGTGACCGTCTCCTCCTCTTCCTCCTCCTCTCTGACGAGCGCAGGTGGGTGTCGGTGTGGCGGTCATGGACGATCAGGACAGGATCCTCGTTGTGCAGGTGGGAACGCAGGCAGCCCTATTCGGATACTGAGCTAGCGAGTAGGAGAAGTTTGGTCCTGCTGCAAGGCGAGGGAAGGACTTCTGGAAGGCAAGTGCAGCATGCGAAGTCCTGCAGGTTGTCAAGTTCGCTCAGGTGCCAACGGGCCTGGTGGAGAGTGGAGAAGACATTGCTGAGGCAGCTGAACGAGAGGTGAAGGAGAAGATCTAGCATCCGCCGGTGGATCTTCTCATGTCCGCCCAGGTCTTTGAGGAGACAGGAATCAGAGTTCACTTCGAGGGAGTCCTCGCCTTCCGGCAGTGAGTGGGAGCGGAGGAGAGCGGAGGAGGGTGTGGAGGCTGCAGTGCTGATCGTTGTCCATTCTTTCCAGGCAACACGGTGCTGGCATCGAGGTAGAGAGAGGTTTTGACTCGTGTGTGGAGCTGAGTTGGCTGCAGAAAAAGACAGACCTGTTTTTTTTGTGCAAAGGAAGGCCTCTCAACTCCAACATCGTCCCTCAGGCAACAAGTCACACTGAAGTCCTGTCTTGTTGAGATTGGGATGGCAGGACAATGAGATTGCGCGGGTAATGCAGCCTGAAGGGTGTTGGGGGTGGAACGCTTGCGGAAGAGGAGGAAAAGGAGTGGAGTGGAGTGGACGAGGAGATGAGAGGACGAGCACGAGGAGTAGAGGACGAGAGGGAGGAGGAGGACATGAGTAGACTTTCTTTCAGGCGGAATGGATGCCCATCCAAGAGTTTCTCAGCAAGCCGATGACGCCCGAGGGGTCAGGTACCTGCAGCAGCTGAGAAAGTTGCGAGTCCTAAGATTTCCCTTTCAGCCTACTGGTTTCTCAACAGATTGGCCGCCGAGTCTTTCCTTCAGGGTAGAGGGTAAGAACAGCTCAACGACTGATCCTGTCTAACTTGATCTGCCAGTGATCTTCCAGGCATCCGCCTACCTCGCAGGTGCTCCTTCACTGCACCATCTCTCCCCCTGATCTGCCTCAAGTCCCGTGCTGTTCGTTCCGGCCAAGATGCCCATCGGCTTTCGTCCAGGTCTTCACTTCCGCTCGCTCCGCTCCCTTTCCCCCTCACTGCAGGAGCAGGTCACAACTTCATCTACGCCGACGGCTCCTGCCATCTCCCTTCGGCTGGACAGAGCAAACTTTGAGGAGCTCGGCAATACATACTTTATTCATGCAACTCCTTGACACACGGAAAAACAAGATGAAACATCATTCATAGTCATGGTACTCTGCGATCAATAAGTGACGCGGGTGTTACCAATGGAGCCATTGCTGTACTGTTCGTACACCGAGTAGCTGTAGTTGTTTGTCCTGATTCCACTCTCTCCGGGCATGACCTGCCATCGTGTGAACAGAAGCGAACGTGAAAGAGCGATACATACGTGCGAGGCTGCTTGATAATTTGAATAGTTGAGGACTGGAGGGCATATACGTTGGAGGGTAACATTGAAAATTCTGCAGTCCTCGCGTCAGAGCAACATGGTTGATGACTTGAGATCTTACTCGTCTCCTCTCATCATCTGCAAAGTACAGTAGGTGTCCACAGGTCCAACAGTGAGCTGAAGGCAAAGATTCAGTTCAATGGAGGGCGGCAAGTAAGAAACGGCGATACATGTTTGATGACGTCAAGCTCTATGTTATGGACAGCCTGCTGGTCGACTGCTACAAGGATATCGCCAACCTGACAGGTTCGGTTTCAGACAAGTTCCAAATTGCAATGTCATACCTGGAAACTCCCGCTTTTCTCGGCTGCAAACCCAGGAATAATCTCATGAACCACCACGTCTCTTGACTATTCAGCAGTTCAGTCAACTAGCAAACGTTGCCCTGTGAGTTACATTGCTTGATCGCTCCAGAGCAAGACCAAGTCCAACCATCTTTCCTGAAATTCATGTTTTTAGAATCTGAAAATCATATTGCAACCTCGCAAAAGAACGATTGTACCCGTAGGTTTCTTCTCTATTTCCTTATACACAACCCTCTCAACAGGAACCTGGAGAAAAAGTCCCTTGTCAGGAAAATTCGCAGAACAGAGCACAGATTGAAGTTCACCTTCTGATAAACAACTTTTTCTCTTTTTCTCTCTTCATCCAGCAACAACTGCACAGACATGAATGAACAGTGAACCAAGGCATTCTTGAAACCTGGAGATGTTGTACTTGGAGCAGAAGATCATCGTACTTCTGTCTATCTACGTAGAGATCCCAATTTGGCTGGATAAGGGAGAAATCGTCAGGATGCAAGCTATGCCATGACATCAACGACTTGCCTCGATCTTAACCTCATTGGTGATGACCTTCTCAACGATCTTTTCCTCGATGACAGGAACCTGAGATCATACGCATAAGGATCTGAACAGACACTGGGCAGAAAAGCCTCGCCTCTTTCTCTTTGATAAAGACTCGGTCAACTGGAACCTCAATAGCTTCCTGCTGCACTTGCACTACGACCCGCTCAACTTCAACTGGAACCTATCGAGCCTCAGAATCAGCAGGACAAAATTGACGTAGCATTCACTCAGATACCTCCTTGACGACGATCTTCTCGACAGGCACTTCAACGAACTCTTTCACGATCCTCTCCACCGGGACCTGCTTGTTGTTAAACTGACATAAGGTCAACTGGAAGCCTCCAATCACCTGAACTTCTTCCTTGACAATTTTCTGTACTGGTACCTCGACCTGATACGTAGAATGATCGAGAAGCGAATGCAAGAAAGGTCTTCACATCTTGTCTGATGATCTTCTCAACAGGAACTTCGTTGACAATTTCTCTCTCAATGACTCTCTCGACCACTCTTTCGACTGGAACCTGAAATCTGCTCATGAATACAACACAATCTGCTTCCAATGATAGCTACCTCAATTTCCTTCAATACAATCTTTTCGATCGGAACCTTCAAACAAACATGTCTTTGAGTTCTCAATTTGACAGGGAATGTGAGTCATACTTCCACTTCTTTCACAACAATCTTCTCAATTGGCACAGCTGAATATTAAATGTCAGCGGAGAGTCTGTTAGACGCTTACTTGAAATTCACCAATCTCCTTGTGCACTATCTGAATGTCAAAACAATCACTTGCGCAACTGTGAAAACAAGGAAATCAAGCAATTGTTACTCACCTTCTCAATTGGAACTTCAATGAAACGATCAACAGGCTTCTCTACCTCAACCTGATCATTCCAGGTGAAAAGTACAAAAATGTGAAGAAGGTGCTGATACGATTTTTTCGATAATCTTGGGCGATTGAGGAGGTGGTGGTGATGGCATATCTACAATCTGAACCGGATGCATCTCAACCGGGTGCATCTCAACAACTTGTACTGGCCGAGTGTATTGCTGAATGATCGGCAGCCCACTTGTCTGCAGCCATATCAACTTGGCAGTACCCCAACCACAAACTCAGGAAACCTGACTGTAGCTAGTGACAGGCATGCTGCTTGATGTGTATACAGTCTGAATTTGACCGAATCCCTGCATACTTGACCCAGTCTTGACGAGATCTGCTGCAACATATCCTGAACTAGACGCCCTTGTTGAGTAGGAAGAGCTGACACCGTTCATGCTCCGATTCTGGGGAGGCAAAAGTAAGTATCATCAACATCTTGAGCTAGGTAGGAGCATCGTGGAGCAATCAAAGCTGATGAATGAATCTCAGTTTCAAGCATGTTGCAAAACATGACAACTTCGATCATCGTGCCATCAACATCCCTCAGCTAGAAAAAGCAAAGTACAAGCATCGGTTCTTCCCGGGGAGAAAGAGCATGCTAGTGAGACGTCAAGTGCGCATGACATTGAACACGCAGGACCAGGAGTTGAGGAGGAGATGGCGGTCTTCTGCTCTCGGAGCTTCTCCACAGGTTCGAGACGTCGATGTCTCTTCCGTCCTCCATGCTCATAGCCATCAGGAGCCTTCGATCCTCTGTTCCTACCAGCACCACCCCTCCATGCACCACCCACCTCTGAATCACCCCACCCCTGTTAACTAGGACCTTTGTGTCCTTGTTACCTCCGAGGGTAACCAACTCCCCCTTTTGGATGACAACCCACCATATGAGATTAGGCGTGATATCAGTCTATTGATGGGGTACTTGACACTACCACCCGGTGACTCTGTGAATTGTAACTTGGTTCGGATCTTGCAACATCTGACCACCCCTCATTGACGAAATACCAGGGGTACTCCCGATGGTACCTCCCTACTACTACACGGGTTTTCCAGAGAACGGAGGGGTGGATCTAGGGTGGGTAGGTAGAAAGGGGTGGGTGTTGGTCAGTTCATTTTTGGTCAGGCACATACGTGGGTGGGGGTGGGATCAGAGGGGGTTGTGCCAAGTGCAAAAGGGGGTGGGTCACAGCACTCGGGTGGCATGAAGTGACCTCCTTGCACCCCCCCCACCGTACTGATATCGCCGGGCCCTAAGGGGTACCGTGACCGATGATGCTAACGCCCGGCCGCCCAGTACCGGTCATTTTAACCTACTGACAGTAGTAAAAGGGACCGGTACTGGTACTAGACTTGATGGTGCCATCACCGACCCGAGACAGGTCGGCCGACTGGGGCAGGCCCACTGACTGACTCGCCGATCGCCCCGGGCGCCGCCGGGGCCGTCCTGACACCATCGGACCGACCGTGGTCCGATCGACCCTACCACTGTTGCATTACGGCGTACCGTCGGCCACGCGCAAGTCACTAAGAAAAGACAACCGTGGCAACCGGCTTTTAGGTTCGCCTAACGCGAAAGCGAAATCCAATTTTCCTGGAACTAGTTGAACGTGAACTTAGTATCCTGCCCAGTCGGACGGACACGGTCGCCGCCGGGGGCCGGGCCGCCGGGCCCAGTGATCCATTTCCGATTTGAGTCACCTAGCGGCTTTCATTCCGAGTTCAAGATGGGGTGGGGTAGGTAGTACCACCCACCTATTCCTGGGTCTTAGCCAGGGTCCAGATCCCCTACCGCCTCGTTCGGATCACGGTCTTGATCTGCCTCCCCTCCTGCTCTCTTCCCCCTCCCACTTCACTGGTACTTCCCCTCCCTCCCTCCCCCTCCCTGCCTCCCTCCTCTCTCCCCGCCAGGACTCCTCTGCTCTTTCCTCCGCCACCTTTCATCTCTTGGTGCTGGCGGGGTTAGGAGGGTACGATGACGGCAATGGCACTGGAAAGCCCGCAGCTTCAAGAGGAATTGCTGCGGTTAAGGCATGAAAATGAATCCATGAGGAGACGTTTGACCTCTCTCCTTGTGCCCCCCTCTGGTCCTCCTCCTGTGAACCACGAGATTCATCTGAATGACGCACGTAAGGAACTCCAAGGGTTTGAACGGGCGATGGTGGTGAAAGCAGAGGAGAACGAGGGGTTGAAAAGGCTGGTGGAGGAGGGAAACAGGCAGAACGAGGTGATGAAGAGACAGCTGGAGGAAGCGAAAAGGATGCAGGTTGAAAAGGATGGTGAGCTGCTGGATTTGCGTGCCAAGGTAGCAGAGCACGGGAGTTTGATCTCAAGGAACGATTTCCTGGAGCGCACAGCGACGAACATGCAGCGAAAGATTGAAGAGCTGGAGGGACACGAAGGGACTGCACGGTCAGAGACGGAGAGGTTGAAGAGGGAGCTGGGAGCAGCCGCGCAAGAGATCAAGGATCTGAGGCAGTTCACTGTCAGGGTAAAAGAACTGCAGGACAGCTACGAGAGGGTTTCGAAAGAGCTCGTGGAAGCCAAGGCTTCCTTATTAGCAGCTTCGTCGAGGAATGAAACCCTCGCAAAGGCCCTGGGGCAGTTGGAGAGCAGGAGGAGAGTCCTCGAAGACGAATATGAGCACGCCAAGCAGCGACTAGCTGAGCAGGACGCTGCTTTGATGCAGGCGAGAGAAGCAGCAGGTCGAAGCCAGAGGCTAGCGGAGCGAGTGGAGAAGTTGGAAGAAGCACTGAGGGACAGGGAGACCTCTGAAGCTCATATGAAGCAAGTGATCGCAAGCATGCGGCAAGAATGTCAGCAGCATGCGCAAACCCGGCAAGAGCTTGAGAGGAACCTGAGCCAAGCAAAACAAAGACTGGAAGATCAGGATGCAAGGACCAGAAAAGTGCAAGAGGAAAGAGATCTGGTGAGGAAGGATGCAGAAAACTGGCGTCTGCAAACAGAAGCTGCAAGGAGGGAGAATGAAAGCGTTGTCCATGAACGCAGCAAACTTCAAGATTATGTTGCAAAGCTGTCGGACAAAATGGAGAAACTTGTTGAAGATGCTCATAATCGCGAGAAGGTGCTGTTGTTCTGTTGTGCCTCTATTTGCTTGATTCGTCACACGAACAAGCAAAGGAGGTGCAACACCTCCCCACGTTCTAAACTTTCTTCAGGTCAGTGAGCACTCCAACACCATCATAGCAAGGTTACGAGAAGACAACGATGGGCTGAGATCAGAGCTACTTCATGCAAGGACAATGATTGATCAACTTGAGGAGGAAAAGAATCTGCTGATGGAGGACGTGTCCTCAAAGCTGGCAGAGAACAACAGCTCGCAGGATGCCGTGAAGCATTTGTCGGAGCGAGTTTCAGAGCAGGCGACGATTATCCGTGACAAGTCAAAGTTGATCTCAGAGCAGCAGGAGGAGCTCGAGAAGCTGCAGGAGACGGTGAGGAAGAAGAAAGACGCAGAGAAGGCACTGGCAGAGGTGGAGCAGAAGCTGACCATCGCCACGGCCACGTTGAGCGCCAAGGATGCTGTGCTGATGGAGAAGGAGGAGGAGCTGATGTTGCTGCGAGACTCGTCGAGCCAGCAAGGGCTGAAGGAGGAGCTGATAGAGACGAAAGCTGCAAACGAGGCGCTGAAGGGGGAGGTGAGGCATCTCTCCAGCATGCTGGTGGATTTGGAGGAGAGGAGCTTGATGGACAGGGAGAAGCTCAAGGACCTCAAGGAGGAAAGTCAGAGCAAGGAGCGTATGCTGGTGCAGGAGCAGGCAGAGCTGCAAGCTACGATCTCTACGTTGAAAGAGGAGGTGGCGAACCTCGAGCAGGAGGTGGAGGTGAAGGAGGAGATCAACAACCGCTCGAGGTCCGTCATTGAGATCCAGAAGGAGAGGATACGCGAGCTCGAGCAGTCGATGGAGGAGAAGTCGGAGGTGGACAAGGAGGTGGACAAGAGCCTTACCAGTGCTGAGGACGAGATCTCCTCCCTCCGCTCCGAGGTTCAAACTCTTACCCAGCACAACACGGCGCTCGCTCGAGCACTCAAGAATGCTCGGGAGAGCCTGGAGGACGAGGACAGAGACGCGCTAAGGAAGCAGCTCAGCGTCGCCATGGAGCGAGGACGAGAGATTCAGCGGGAGAAGGACGAGGCCCTCCAGGTTCATCTCGCCCCCAGCAGGGTTGTCTTTGCGTGCTGAGCAGGTTGAGCAGGTCGCCTCAAGCACCATGACGGCATGTCAGACCTACAGGAGGAGGCTGCTGGAGACGCAGACGAGGAGCATCCGCCACCTCATCGGCATGAGCGACTTTCTGGTGCTGCAAGAGGCGATCGCGAGGTGGAGCAAGGTGAGAGGATCGTTTCTTACCCAGCTGCCGGTCCACCTGACGATGTCCTGCGGCAGATGGCGGAGATGATCAAGACGGAGCGAGTGCTGCAGGAAACGGGGACGGGGTAGCGAGAGATTCATGCATTGAAGATGAAACGTCCGAGCGAGCAGACTGTGTCCTGTAGAGCTTCGTCGTCGTCCGCCAGTTCCAAGGCCAGCATGTAGCGCTGCAGAGCTTCGGCAAGCTCCTTCCTCCCTTCTGCCTCCTTCCCTTCCTCCACGTGCCTGTTGTACCTCCGAGTCTCCTCCACCGTTAGCTCTGCGCGCGTCCTGGTCCATACCAAGGAGGGTGAAGGAGAGGGGCGGGAAGGCACAGGGCTCTCCGCTGCTGCTCCTCCCTCCTCGCCTTCGTCCTCAGCGCTCGTGGGGTCAGCCTGCGGTTCGCAAGGGCTGTCGCTCTCGCTAAGCTCCTCCTCTCCTCCTCCTCCTCCTTGCTCGTCTTCGCTTTCAGATCTCTTCGGTGACGAGTCATGCACAAAGCTCTCATCTTCAGCTCCTCTCGAGCCATCAGCAACATCCTTAGCAGGTGCTACAGCTGGAGCTGGAGCTGGAGCTGGAGCTGGAGCTGGCTCGTACTCATCGCTGATCCTGTATCGGTCAAGGAAGTCTTCGTGCTCCCTCGCTCTGCTGACTGTCGGCCCCCTCACCTTTTCCTTCTCCTGCTTGGGCTTCTTCAGGTTGATCTTCCTCGGAACCGAGGAGAAGGCGCCGTGTTGGGAGGAGGAGGAGGAGGAGTCATCGGGCCCCTCGGTAGGAGGAAGGAGCTTGGAGAAGAGCAGGTGGTAGTCGCTGACTCCTCGCACCATCGCCCCCCCGCACCTCTCGAGGAAGACGCGATGCTGCTCATGCTCGCACTGCTCCCGCTGCTCGCCGTGCAGCTCTTCGAGCTCCCTGTGTGTTTCAGAGCTCTGCATGTTGCCGATGGCGAAGAGAGCACGGAGCTGCTGCTTGCTGAAGTAGCGGAGCTGGTTCTCCTGCTGCATCACCACCTTGTTGAGGCCCCTCTTGAAGATCTGGTTCCGCAGGATCTTCTCCTCCACGGTCCCGCAGGTGACCAGCCGGTAGACCTGAGACGTCACCGTAAGGAGACGAGCAGCTGCTGCAGGAAGAGCGTGCGGGGGATCGGGAGAAGTCTCTCGGGGGCGGGGGGGGCGGGGAGATATGTCAAGTATGAAATCAAGAGGAGGAAAGCGGGAGGGGGGGGGGGGGGGGGGGAAGGGGAGAAAGGGCCGGGAAAAGGGACGAACAGGTGAACCTGGAGGCAGAGACAGAGCAGGTTGATCTGAACTCCCTCTCCATCAGCTTCGAACTGCAGGCTCTGAAAGTCCCTGGATCATATCTAGAGGAGTACTACGGGGTGGATCTAC